GACAGCTGAGTGGCGTTTCCTTGGTTACAATTAGCAAGTGAAAATTGCAAGTCAACATGAGAAATCCCTCGGGAACGACAGCGACCGCGCTCGGCCTCATTAACTTAATTAAAATTAGCGAAAAAGAGCGTAGTGCCCAGCACCTGTGCAGGTTGTCATGTAATTTGATAATTACGCAAGGGAGCAACTCTTGTTGCACAGCGCGAGATTTCTATCGAGGCATGCTAATTTAACCCAGCCGGCTTGGGGGTTCAGTGACATTTTTGGTAACCAACATAAATAATTTTTATCAAATAGGATTAAAAGCTGTTTTAAAATACAATAAAATAATTAGAGCCTAAATTAAAAAAAAAATTAAAATAGATTTTCAATAATTTGTTGACCGCCTGTCGTTCCGTTATCAGAAAAATATTTTAGAAGTGAAATAATAAAAGAAACATTTTCTCAGGTTGCTTTGAAATTGACAAAACTTTAAAAAGATAAACATGCTATTTTCTTGCTGTTTGACAATAATCATAATTTTTAAAAATTGTTTTTAGTTATTGAGATAGTCAAGTAACTCATTAAATATTTGAAATAGTTGTGATTTCAGAACTAAATCTAAGATTTTTATTTTTAATTGTCCTCTCTAGTAATAATTTTAGTTCTTGAATTAAAAAGAACACTAAAATTAAACATTATTCATTACTGAAATTGAGATAATGATAAAAAAAATTCAAGCTCATAAGGGTTGAAACAGAGGGTTTAATAAATGGCATCCATATTTTCGGAGGCTGTCTTCTTTCAAATTCTACACAAGAATAATTTGTGAAAAATAACATATTTTCTACTAATTATTTAAAAAAAAAGAAAATAATTTGAAAATGTGACTTTGTTGTCGTGGAAAATAAATTTGATAAAACTCCAATTTACAAGCTTATTTGAATGTAAAATAAATAAAAATCTCCCATTTTACAACTGTCATAATTTACAGGAAAGCCAAAAGTTTTTTACTTTCAACATCCAAACCAAAGGTGCATTAAATTTCAATAATTATTTTCCAATCATTTTTGTCCAAATGTTCCGCATTAGGCTTACGGCTTATCATTAATAATAAATTAATTTACTATGTTTTGCGCGAAATCACATTTTCCAAAAAGCACCAGAGTGATTATATAATTTTGTCCCAATATTAGCGCGCGTTTCCCACGATGAGTTTTTTTTGTAACGCGTAGTTGAAAAATAAAAAAGCGAAAAAAGAATCGAGTCGACCGCGGCCGAGCGCGCGAACAAGTGTTTTGCAATTGAGCCGGCAGCAGGGGCGCGTGCTCATGTCTCTCCACGGGCAAAGGAGATTGTTGTTGGCAGCGCGTAAATAATAAGTAAGACACGAACACCTTGTTTGGCGCCACTTGAAAAGCAGCAGCTCATCCCCGCGGGTTTGCTCGCGTATGAAAGAAAAGAAGCTCTCGTCGACTTCGCGGGGCCCCGGGGCATCCAGACTCCCTGACATTTAACCCTCTCGCACCTCGACAGCCGAAACGCGAGTTAGATTTATCTTGAGTTTGGACAGCAAGTGTCCCAATTCTGTCTGAATCGAACGCTCCTGATAAGAGGTTGGAATAAAATTGTTGAAAAAAAAATCAACAAAGCAGAGATGTAGAGGGAAATATTTGTTGATTTATTTCCATTCTGGAAAGCAATATTGGAGCAGAAATATTGGAATATTGGTGGAATTTGCAAATTTCCTTCTGACAAAAATGATGGTCGAAAGAAATAGTTTTGCAATACAATTTTTAAACCAACATTCATTTGATTTTGAAAACAAAACGCGTCATGGAGTATGTCATTAAATTTTGATTTACCTGCATATTCCATTATTTTGTATGCGTCTAAATTATATACTTTTACAATAAAATTACTAAACTGGAATTAGATCTTTCTCGCTCAACAATATTTTTTAGAGCTGGATGGAAATATAAAATAAATTATAGTAAAAAATTAATTATATATATGTACGTAATGGTCAATATATTTGTTAAAAAAAGGAAAAGTTAAAAATAAAACTATAATATAACAATAATTGCTTATTAATATTTATAACTGTTAACTTTTTTGATTGAGGTTCTTGTATGGTTGTTGTGGAACCGTTTCAACACTTGCGGTCATGCGGTGATAATTTTGTTTTAATAAAATCCAATTAAAGGTTTATTTAAAAGGGAAGAAAATAAAAAAATCAAATCAATGAAGAAAAAAAAAACAGAAAAATAGTAATGTTGTTTCTGATTTTTGCAGATGAAAAAAATATTCAAAAATTCATCAGCGTCACAAACTTTCAACTATTTCATCTTTCAAAAAAGATGTGTCAAAAGTGCCTCGCGTACTTTAAAAAGCAGGAGTTTCATTTTGGCCGCGTCTTTAAGAATTTATCAAGCATTTTCGCAACGACTAAAGTTAGCAGCTGATCCGAACGAAGGCGGGCGTCAGCACTTCTTTTCATTCAGCCGAGCCGGCGCCCTGAAATTTTTATGCGCCTCAAGGAGACTCCTCTCGACTGTGCATGGACTACACACAGAACTGATTTCAATCTGCTGCTATAGTCGTGGCGCCGGTCGTTGTTTTTTTTCTCGCAGTTCTTGTTTTCATTTGCGCTTGGCTCTAATTCAGCAACAGCACCCGTTTATTTTTTATGTCATCGCGCAGTGCATGAGATTGAACGACGAGCTGTTTTGCATTTTCTCGCCAAAACCAACCAACCAACGCCCTTTGGCCGCGGAAAGTGTTTTATTGCGTGTGGGAATTTCCACACTTTCAGTAGAAAGCGTGCAAATTTTCCTTACTGTCTTTGCTAATTTATTCTGTCCATAGGTTGCTTTTAATTAGTGATTAATGATTGCCAAAAAGAGAGTTCTTGAAAATAAATCAAATTAAAGAATTGTGTGATTAAAATTTGGTGTGATTTCTTATATTGAAATTATATCATTATTTAATAACATTGAAAATTCAAAATACTGATTTTTTTTTTTAATTTTTTTTTTTTAAATTCCAAGGATATAAAGAGGCATCTGGGCTACACGTGTATTTTTAACAAAAGAGGAAAAAGAGAATTCACTGCAAATTTTAACCTCGTGCCATGCAAAAATTCTCACTAAAATCACGGACAGTGAGGAGCACTCACGCATGCAACCTAGCCGCACAGAACAAACAAAAGAGCCGCACTGTGCACGTGCGATTGCAAGTTTTTGCCAAGCACGGAACTTTATCGTCATTATTATTGTTATTCCAAACGAGATCGACGCGCGCCTCTTTCCTCCTGTTGATTTTCCATTTGCATCTGGCGAGAGCAATTTCCTCAAACTTCCGCCGACAAAAAAATAAATCTCGCAGTGCAATCTTTGACCCTTTTGTGCGATAAAGAATATGGCAAATCGAGGTAAAGAGAAGAAGAAGTATGCAATTGGCAAGCACTGCTGTCGGGCAAGTTGCATAACTTCCTCACTTTGCCATAATATATAAAAACCATAAGAGCTTTCCATCTTTTTTCAGCTTTGGGTGGATATCAGAGGCTGGAAGCAAAATGTTCCACGCCTCGTTAGGCGCAGCTAAATCGACATTTTCCTTCTTTTTCACTCTTTTCCGAAGAGCGAGGCAAGAATGTCGTTGTGTTGTTTTAACATCAGCATTGGGAGTTTCCGCCACCGTTTGTCCGGCCTGCGAGGCAATCAGCACGGATATTTGTTTTGCGGTCTCACGTGTCTTTGCTCAAACTCGGACGGACGAGCCAACAGAGTCGCTGCCGAGGGACTGTCAGGACGGTGGTTGACTTTGGAAAAGGTTCTGCGAAAAATTATTCCGAGTGACGTTTAATAAAAGTGTCACTCTTTCGTGACGAACCGTCACAGTTTGACGAGGGAAAAATTTGCAAAAGTGTCACCACAAGATTTAATCTTGAAGATTAAAAATAAACTCTCCCGCCGCGGGATATTAATATACAGATTTTGTTAATTAAATATTTGGTCGGATCAAACTTTATGTTTGTCGGCGGGACATGCAGTCGTAATTAGTGTCCTCTCCCTCCATTAAATATTTGCAGAAGATATGTGCAGAGGAAGGTAAAAGCAAAACTCTGTTGGGTAATTATGTTTATGTGCCGAGGTGTGCTTGCTTGTGTATATAATTGCGGGAGTGGCTAACGAGCAAGTCCATTTTATACTGACTGAAGTTTATTGATCGGATATCATGGACAGGAATATGGTTAGTTAAATTTCATACCAACAGAGACATAATTTTACGTAATGGGTCAAATTAATGAGCAAGGAATACTATTGAAAATTATGATTTTTAAATTAAAATATAATTATAAAAAATAATAAAATGTGAAAAAGATAAATTCCCAAAAATTTGATTACATTGGCAAATTTATATGGAAACTACAAACTGATAAAAAAATAAAATAAATACATGAGAAACTGATATAATACTTTCATAACAATAAGATAAGGTGTCTGGTGTTTTGTAAAAATATTGAATACTGTAAATTAAAAATATGCTATTAAAGAATATTATTATCAAATTAATATTACTCTGCAAAGTGTTTTTTAAAAGAAGAATTCAATAAATATTATTTGTTGAATTGAAACTGGCTATTCATTGCAGAGTTTTATAAGCTCTATTGTGTGATTTCTGTAGGTTTGTACAGAGAAAATAATAATCTTGAAACTCATTGTGTCCCACCTCAGCTGTGAATATTATTAACAGAATTGAATAGCTTCAACTCTTGAATTAAATGTAGTTTGTAAATAGGTTTATGCGTTTCAAATTATTCATTAAAACTAAAAAAGAAAATTAGGTAGTATTTAATGTTATATATAATGATGCATTTAAAATTAATTCCTGACCGTTCTAATTATTTCTACACTAATTTTGCCATTTTCGCAGATTTTAATATTTGTGTAAAACAAAAATATTTAATTCTTTCCATTACCTAATTTTATAATTATCTCTGTATTATATAATTGCAGAAGTGGTGCGTGTGGTTGGTGGTGTGGCCGGCGTTGGTGTCCCTGGCCGTCTGCGAGTCCATGTCGGCCGAGGAGGAGGCCATCGTCAGCGGCGGCGGCGGCGGTCAACCAGAAATTTACATCCCGCTCAGTGAGTGCGCGAGCCCATTTTTACACACGCCATTGAAAATTCCGAGCCGACAGCAGCGACCCGAACGATAATTATGCAAGCGTCGAGAGATGCGCGTCTTGCAAAGTGGCGCGGCCGCCAATAAAAGCAGTGGCCACATTTTCGCGTGCACTCCGTTCTGCTCCGACGTGACGCGCTAATAAAATTCTTAACCGACCGCACAGTAGTAGTGTCAAACGGCCCTTCGCCTCCTTTTTCTAAACGAAAATCGATTCCGATCAGAATTTCTTCAATTTGCAAGTAAAATAAGTTTGGAAAGTTTAAAAACTGAGATTTATCCTTGATTACATTTAAAATTTAATAATTCTAGAGGAATATTATGTAAATTAGAATTTTAAAAACTGCATTGAATTTTTGTCACTTCATCACAGAAAAAAGTTAAATTGGTTATTTTGGGACAGATAAAATTATGCAGCAAAACCTATAATATAACCCATTAAAAGTATTTTTTTTTTTTTTTTAATAATTTTCGGAATTTTTTCATGTCACGGCAAGTTCAAACGGATTTGCATAAGTGCAGAGGCGACGGGGCCGGGTTTCATGTCCGCAATGTTTATTCTGTATAACTTGATTAGTAATAAATAATAATAAAAAAAATAGCGTTCCCTTGACGATCTAGTCCTAAAAAGCGTGCCAGATTTTTTATTTTATTTTATTGAATTTAAATATTTTAATGCAATAAGCAAGTTTTTTTTTAAGTAAACGTGATTTTGAATGTAATTTGAGCTACAAAAAGATTTGAAAAACACCGGCCCAGTCAGGTTTCGAAATCGGCTAGGTAGGGCCCGCAGGATTAGTAAACTGCGCCCCGAGTCCTACCGACCGAGACTATACCCTCTGGGCGTACCAGTGTCCAGCTAACAATGTGCTCAAAAAATCGGCTTATAAACAGTGACAAGGTTCGCGCATCACGACAATGAAACATTACTTGATTGTTGTTTGAGCAACAATCACAATTTGCTCCAATTGTTGTGATGCGTGACGCTTCAGGGCGAATTTAGAAATATTTTGTTTGACGGTTAAATATGATTCCAGCAAATCGCTTTACATATTAATTGCCGGTTGTGCACAGAGAAAAAAATTCATATTTTAGCTTGTTTGAATCAGTTTGACTATTTTTAAAAATATATATTTTTTTAAATTAACATAGATTTGGCCAATAACTATTTATTTATTTACTTACTGATTTATTTAATCTCCATTCATGATAACTACTTTTCATATAATCAGTTTGAAAGAAAAAAAAGTCCAAATTAACCTGAAGCAAAAAAGGGGCTGTAAAAATAAATTTAAATCGCAGTCAAATTGTTAATTGAGGAACTGAACCATTTTTTACGTTCACTACATTAATATATACGTCTGCAATAAAAAAACTTTAGTATAGAACTGTGATATTGCATGTTAAAAAAAAAACAAAATTCAAGACTGAAATAATAATATATTTACTAACTCTTGCCTACGTTTGCGTTTATTTTGCCCCGATTGATTATCATGCAAATTTTGTTTTTGAAAATTACAGTCAAATGAGCTAGGGCTGAAAGGTGGGCTGTGCAGGGCCATGCCCTTGATCTTAAATGAAATATGGCTGCTAGTCCTGTCAATCTGGCTAATTACCTAGTAAGTAACATGCAATGTAAAAATATCAAAGTGGCTATAAATAAAAATAAATACGTACATAAATATTTTGTGTAATACCATAAAGTGGTCATTTAAGCTAAAATGTTAATTCTGTTTATCTTTTGCTGAAATTTACAGTAAACCTCATATAAATTGCAACAATGCAAATCAAAGCAACAATTAACAGTGTCACGAGAATATTTTAGAATCTAGGCTCACTGCGGCGGTTGGGGAATTTTTGAAAAGATTTGAACAAAATTCTTGTTTCATTGAACAATTCAATGTAACAATTTATTATTTTTTAGCATTTAAATTACTTTGCAATAATCAGACAAATAAAAACAACAATAGTGGCCAAAAAGTATGTTCATAATATAATTTTTCATGGCAAACTAATCTAATTTCAGATAAAACAAATAATTTTTTATCACATCATTGTTGTCTCCACAACTTTGAAACTTTACCTTAATTTTGATTTAAAAAAATATTTTTTTGAGCCTTGAAATTTAGTTAAAAACAATGAAGGTGAATTCTGATAATTCTATGTATTATTCCAAATTTCAGAAAAGCCACGTAGTTCCTTTTTAAAAATTAAACCGTAAAACAAACTAAACTACTTTACACTTACTAACACAAACATGAAACATCAACACAGAATTACATCAAAAGAACATTAACAAATGAGTGAATAAAGCTAAACTCGTTACTAGAAGTTAAATTGGAATCGAGTCTCAAGCGGGTTTAAACTGCAAATTTTCAGACTTGTACCAATTTATTCTAACTTTAGCGTTTGATTCGCAATAATTATTAAGGTGGAAATTTTCCGCGTCGCTGAATTGGGGAAAAGCAGCAGTACACGCACGCACTCATTACACTACTTCAACTTTTATTTATCGGTGGCGTGTGGTGGGTTGCAAAACAACATTAGGCTTCTTTGGCGAGTTATGCGATGTGGAGTCGGCGGGCAAACCTAATTGCGGGGTTTATCGCGTTAAGCGAACAGCAGGCCTTTTTCTTTCCTCCGACCCAATTCGATTTGATGCCAACATAAAGATGATCTGTGGCGCACGTCCCACTTATTTTTGCCACTCAAATTGCATTTTGCCTTCTGCAGCCGTCCTGCTTATTCACTTTCGAGACTTATTGCGTCAGTCGTCGACTGGAAAAAAGAGAGATCCAACTTTTGAAACTTTTTCCACTGCCCGTCCACATAACACCAAAGCTCAAGTTCTCACTATACAAATGCAAAAAAAATTTAAAATCAATACTTTATTATTCCTTTTGTATTGGGCTTAAAGTTATTTACATTGAAAATTAGTTCCTTATGAGAGTGAGTAAAAACAAATTTAATAGACATGGATGAAAATTAAATTTTATACCTTACGATTAAACAGTTTTCACGTCAGTGAAAATATAAATAAATTTGAATACTAGAATCAATTAAGAACTTCAATACTGCATTTTAACATAAAACTTGTAAAAAACTTGAACGTTAATGATTGAAAAAATAATAATTTACATTAAATTTAAAAAAAATTAAAAATATAATGAAAAATATCAAATAAATTGTGAGCGATTAAATGATTTTGAAATAAAATAATTTTTGTGTTGTTTTTCATACTATGGAGGACTTATTGCTGTTTTTTAGGTTCTTATTGAATTTTACTGATAATACTCTAATTGCTAAATGATTCGCAGATGGCCTCCTGCGCTTAGTGAACAGCAACAGCAGGCAAATGGGCAAACGAAACCCCTTCGGCATCAGTGCCCGCGGCTTCCACGAGGACATCTTTGACCACGACTACGGCTCCTTCAGCCCCATGCGGAAACGCAGCATCCCGTCGGAGGAGCTGCACTCGAGGAATAAGCGCTCCATCGACCCAAAACAGCATCAGAAGGTGAGCGTCCACCTACGCAATTATGCAACCCACTAAGATGATTGATATCAATTATGAATTTATATCTCAAAAGAAATTTTCTGCTATTTTTATCTACATTTAGAATAAATAAATAGATCAGATAAATAAAATAAATAAAACTAATTAATTTTGAATTTTATCATTTGGACTTCATACAATTCAAACTTTTTAAATGCGTTTTAAAGTTTAGAATTGAAAAAAAATGAAAGATTTAATTAGATAGTTGATTAAAATATTTTGAAGTTTTTTTAATATTGAAATTAAAATTGGAAATTTTATTTTTACCAAAATTTGTTGCAGAAATATCAACTGATATTTTTTTCTTCTTTTAATAAATTTTTAGTTTATAATGTTAGCACACAAGGAGTGAAAAAATTCCCTTGTTTCTTATAAAAATTATTTTAATTTGCGAAATCACTTTTTTTTTATCTGTAACAATTTTACAATTTTTAAATTGATACCACCTTCCATTTGCAATGTAGACTGAACGAAATTGATTTATAATAATTTTAAACAATAATTTCCCGCAGGTGGGTGGTTGGAGCAAACGGCGACCCGAGATGGACTCATCAGGTTTCCACGGCGACACCTTTTCCAGCGGCTTTGGCGATTTCTGGACAATGCGCAAAAAGGCCATGGCCATGAACAAACGTCGGCCCGAGATGGACTCTGCTGGCTTCTACGGCGACACCTTCACCAACGGCTTCGGCGACTTCTGGACGGTGCGCAAGAAACCGGCCGACTACGCAGACTACGACTTCCAACCCAAACGTACCAATAAATAATTCATTAAGAAAATTAACATAACATCCGGAAAAATTTTAAAAGAAAACGCGTTTTGAAAAAAAAAATTAATTTCTTTTGGCAATTAAAAATTCATGAAATTTCAGCTGGTGCTTCCCTATTACGCCAGCCTGTTGTTACTCCCTAAAGTGTTTCGACTCATTCCACATATAATATGTAGATCTCTATCTCCTTATGGCATTATACACATGTTAACCCACATTTAACACGCAAATGATGATGACACACAATAACAAGCATAAAAAAGAGTGAACTACTGTCTTCTGAATTGATGTATACTATAAAAATCATTTATTAATTATAAATATACAAAGAAGTACGTCACGAACCTGTCTGATTTATTCAATTTTTTAAATTTTTGATCATTCTGTTTTGAATTTGTCTGGTACTTGCGGAAATTTGACGCACTTCTTGTGCATTACGATATGACTTTTAGCTGCGGATGATTAGTGAATAAAATTTTATTTTGTATTGCAACAAACTGATTTTTAATTTAAATAAATATTCCTCTGATAATCCTGAGCGTGAAAATTAATTTTTGAAAGTTCATTCTCAAACGAATTGCGTCATTTTAATTGTAAATATGCGAGACTAAAAGAATTTTACAAACATGAAAAAATATTAAATGATTTTAATTTTCTGAATAATTTTTTAAATATTTTGTACACTTTTGAAGCCTTTATTTCATTTTGTCGTTTAAATGAACAAAATTTAGATTTTGCAATTGTATCAAAATATTAAATAATTAGTAAGTTTCATTTATGAAAGTTCAAGTGAATATCTTTTTTTAAATAATGAAATTGTTTTTTAATTAAAGTGCACCATTTATTTTAACTTGAATTAAAATTAGAAATATTTAAAATTTTAATTTTACATAAAAAAAATAATCATTATCAAAGTTTTGTAGACTTTTTGAACTAAAAGTCACCGTTTTTTTGCAAGCAAAACTTCAGAATTTCACACAAACAGACGAGTTGTTGACTGCGAGAGCAAGGTGTGTGCGCATGCACCATAACAATTATATATGCCTGAGAGCTACTCGTCTCTCAACTCAATTCCTATTTATTTTTGGCACCGTCACCCTATGTTTTTAACAATCAAGAGGCGCCGCGTCGCTCTTCGTCGATTCGCTCAGCTTGTTCGACTTTTTCGAAACAAACTCTGAGAGTTTCGCACCACTTCACAGCAATTGTTCCGAAAAAATTGTGTGCATTTGGTGAGCTATTTTTGTAAAAATCCCTGCATATTAAAATTCCCTCTCTAGCGGAGTCGGCCACTGTCTATGACAATTTAGAGCACCGAAGCTGGACCAGAGTTGAAAGTACCTAAAAAAAGAACAATGCTTGGATTGGACTGTTACAGAGGCGCCGTCTTCTTTTCGGCTTCATTAATGGCGAGTTTTAGTTAATTCTATGATTTAATAAGAAAACTAAAATTAGAAAAACAAAAAATGGTGAAATAATTAAAAAGAAGATTAATTTTAAAAAATATGAAAAATTTACATACTTTATTTCACTTTTCAGGTCTACTATGTGTACTCTATTTATAATTATGGCTACCAAATGATCCTAAATACTCACCGTGAGTATTTAATTTTAAAATTTTAGTTCATGTAAAAAATTTCTATTTCCTTTTTACGCAGTGCTTAGCGTTATGATTTTTGGACTGATTTTGGAGGTCTTTTGCCTTGTAGGAGTCATATTCCAATACTTTTTATACATGGGAGCAAAAATGGTAAAAATCCTCACATGCAATATTTTAATTATTCATTATTAATAAAAATTATTTTTTTCCTCGTCAGAATGATCCCAACAATGTGACAAGATGGTTGTATTTTTCCAAGTTCGCAAACATCCCCTATTTCTGCTTCGTTTCAGTGGCGTTTGCTGTTCATTTCCAATGGATAGCTCTTGTAAGGGAAGTTCTGTGCTTCAGTAAGTATAAGGAAAAAAAATTTCCTTTCAATTTTAGCAAAATCATTTTGCAATTTCAGTTTTCTTGCTGCTAGGAATCTTTTCGATGAATTCATACTTGCCGAAGATGACTCATAACCCGGACACAAATGTTTAATAACGTGCAATTTTTAAAATTGATTAAAATTGAAAATAAAATACTAAATTGTGCTGTTTAATTCTCAAAGGCACAGAAAATGAAACAAGAGAGTAAATGTAACTTGAATCTTACGCTGTGACCAGCAAGTTGCATACATTGAAGGGGCTCTTTATTTTAATATCCTTTGATAATTTTATTTGAATCAATCATATTTAATTAAAATAAAAAAATATTTGTAAAATAAAATACACAAACTAAAAATTCATCTTAATTTTATTATAAAGCTAAGGTTCTTGAAAAAGTTTACCTACATTGAGAGAATCAAACCGACGATTATGAAGAATGGTCGGTTCAAATTTTAAAAAGTACGTATGGCATTAAAGTGTTGATTGATGAAGCCATTTTTGCTCAGTATGGTCACCGGTATGGAAGATAATTCAGTTAAAATAATTAAAATTAAAGAGAATTATACTTTTAAAAATTAAATCTTTTGCTGTGATCACCAGGTTGCATATGTTTAAGGGGCTATCTAGTTCAGTATAATCTTTTTTTATTTTTAATAAAATATTATCACATGAATATCAAAATTTATTAAAAAAATGCAAAATCTTCAATTTAATTAGCTTTTAAGATTCTTGAAAAAGTTCACACCTGCAGCAAGGATTGAACCCACACGTTTTTAAGAATGGCTCATTCAAATTTTTAAAAGTAGATGGCGCTAAAGTGGTGATTAAGCCATTTTTGCTGAAATAAACCGGTTCGAAAAGAATTTAGCAAAATTAATTAAAACTTTTTTCTAAACATGGATCACTTCAAAACAATTAAAAATTACATGGATAGGGAAAAAATTCAGTCAAAAACTTACGTACGTTAACTTGGCCTTTTAAATGTCTAAATTTACGACCCCACCAAAATCACCGAAGCAACGTTCCGGTAAACAACCGGTCGATAGAACCAGTTTCTCCGTCTTACTTTTGTTTATCCTTTGGTGTTTGTTTGCAACCTGCCGTTGGTCGCTACACCTGTGGCAAAAACGACCTGCATTTCGGCAAATTTTATTCAAAATATTCTGCATGATTTCGATAAAGGTTTGATCGAAACTGGTGAGTGTGAGTCCGATTAATATCTTATTGACCTTAAATTAAAATTAATCGAAGCGTATCAATCACAAGAGTTTAAAATCTAAAAGTTAAAATATTCCCACACAAGAGCCACTCCCTGAAAATGAATCACCTGAAAGCGTTTTTGGTTTTAAAATTTTGCAAACTTTGCAGAAAAGCTTCGAGATGAGAGCTAGTTTGTGGCTGGTGGCCTTCTCAGTGGCCCTGGTGTCTTCGCAGAGGACCCAGATGGACAGGGAGCGCGAATTGGAGTTGCGATGTCCGCAACACTGGACGCAATTCAGGTCCTCCTGCTACAGGTTCATTAAGTCGCCGAATAGGCCGAGAAACGCGGCAAGACAGAATTGTCAGGTAAGATTTTTTTTTACAAATTTTAACTTCATTGCTGATTTTGTACTCTACATAATTAGCTATAGTGTGAATAAAAATTTATAATTAAAAAATTTAGGCCCAGCTGCAGAATGGTGGTGACAGAGTATGATTGTTTTAAATGAATATATTTAATTTCATAAGACATTAATTTTCAATTTATCTTATTATTTTATTATAATAAATATATACATCCAAATAATAATTTATAATTAGTTTAAATGTTTTTTCAATTAATAAAATTTTTAAATATAATAAATTTAGCCTAAAATATTAATTATAAAATTTAATTTATCAAATTAAATTTAAACTTTTGTTCAGGTATATGACGCTGATTTGCTAAGTGTGGACTCTTTGGACGAGCACACCTTCATCATGCAGCAGTTGCAGTGGCAAGACCCTCAGCACCGGACTTGGTACACAAGTGGCAGGCAGCAAAGCCCAGGCTATTGGGTCAACGACGGTGACAACTCGCAACTGACCAACATCGAAGCCGCCTTTTTGCCTGACTACGAAAATACCGTTGGAAAAGACTTTGTAGCCTATGGGTAAAAATTTAATAGAAATATTTATAAATATTTTCATGGACAATTCCGCAGGTTTGACGAAAAGTCCAAACGATGGGGATTTAAGAAGGTCAAAGGCGAGGACTACTTCCTGTTCATTTGCGAGGCGCCAGTGAGCAAGTTGCACCACCTGGTCTTCGACGACCGCACTCATGAATACGGTTTGGAAGTCATGGACCCTGAGAAGGTTCCTCGAGGGCCTTATTTTGTCAAACAGCCAAGCAACGCCGTTTTTGACGAGTCGGGAAGGCGCTCCCAGCAATATGTCACTATGACGTAAGTAGAAATATTTTGCTTAAAAGATGAATTTATTGAATTATATTTCTTCAGGTGTGTTGCAAAAGGCTATCCGAACCCAACCTACGAGTGGTTTAAGGAGGATTACGAGAGTGACCAGTTGGTAGCCAAGAAGATTGACCCTCTAAAGGACTCGAGATACACCATCAGTGGTGGTTCCTTGATCATTTACAACCCAAAACAAGTAATTTCGAAACTGATTTTTAGAATTTAACTCAAAATTTTTAATTTCAGATACAGGACAATGGCCTTTACCACTGTCGGGCTAGCAACAAGTACGGAGTAATCGTGTCCGAAAGTGTCCAGCTCACTTTTGCATTCATTGGAGAGTTCAATTTGAAAAGGTCACCTGAGAAGGGCCAGCAAAATTGGGGCAAAGCCATCTACTGTGATCCACCTCAACATTTTCCAAGTAATTATAGCAACAATTTCCATTTTATGTGTAAAAGAAAAGTTGACTCAAAATTTCGACATTAATTTAATTGTTCAAAATTTAATTTTAAACTTTTAGGAAGAGGATTTGATAGCTTGGGAGGTGAAAAATCAACTCTCAATTTTATAAATTAATTGTTTTGTCCTAGATCCATAGAATTATGTGATTCAATGCTCATTCCAGGCGTAACTTTCAACTGGGCGAGAGACTTCTTCCCCAACTTGGTCGAGGAGGACAGAAGAGTGTTTGTCTCCTACGACGGAAATCTGTACTTTTCCGCCTTGGAAAACATCGACAAGGGAAATTACTCCTGCCACGTTCAGAGCAGCGTTTCCAGCACTGGCCGCAGTGGTCCTACCTTCAATCTGGATGTTTTGCCCCATTGTGAGTTGATAAACTTATTTTTGAATATGAATTATTATCTTAAAAATTAAAATATTCAGCCAACTCGCAGCAGCTCAAATACGGAAACAACTTCCCCAAGGCCTTCCCTGAAGCTCCAGTTGCTGGTCAAGAAGTTCGACTTGAATGTGTTTCTTTCGGATAGTAATGAAATTTTACCAAGCTTAATTTTGTTCTATAAATAATACTCCTTTTCAGTCCTGTCCCTTCTTACAACTGGACAAGAAAGGGATCAAATTTGCCTAGGACCGCAATTCTCTCGAGCTACAACCGAGTTCTGACCATTCCGAAAGTGAAGGTGGAGGACCAGGGAGAATATGTTTGCAGGACTTTCAATGACAAGCAGTCCATGCAAAATTCAGTTGTTTTGACCATTCGAGGTTTGTTTTTCCCTCATTTTGATAAAATAAATATTATTTGGTAATTTCCTCAGCCGAGCCAAATTTCACCATTCCTTTGGTGGACAAACACATGGACAAGGACTCTGATCTGACTTGGACATGTGAGGCGTTTGGAATTCCGGACGTGACCTACTCGTGGTTTAAGAACGGGGTGCTGCTCGACCCTTACAACATCACCCACGAAGATCGAGACAGAATCATCATTGTGGACAACGTTTTGACCATCAAAGCACTCGACCAGGAAAGAGACGAAGGAATGTACCAGTGCCAAGCCAGGAATCAACTCAAAACTAGCTACTCCTCTGCCCAACTCCGAGTTTTGTGTATGTTTATCAATGACCTCCGAATTTTATTCATCTAAAATTGATTTATTGTTAAAAGCTCTGAAACCCTCTTTCCTGAAACGCCCTCTTGAAGCAGAAACTTATGCTCATGAGGGTGGAAATGTTACCATTAAGTGCAACCCTGAAGCTGCCCCGAGACCGAAATTCACCTGGAAGAAGGAAAACAACGTCATAGGTATGATAGAAGAAATAACAATTTGGAAACTAAATTTTAAATCCAATTATTTTTAGGCTCTGGTGGCACAAGAAGAATTCTAGAAAATGGAAATTTGATCATCACTAGGGTTTCAAGAGATGATGCTGGGGTTTATACTTGCACTGCAAGAAATGTCCATGGGTCTGATGAGAGCCGTGGACGCTTGGTTGTGATGAGTAAATATTTTTCATCAATTTTTTAGTTTATTCTAATAAATATCATTTTAGGAGGACCATCTTTCATTCGAGAACCGCAGCAGCGAATCTTCTCCAGCTACGGACAGAACATTTACATCGAATGTGCTGCAAACTCTGAAGAAATCCTCGACTTGGCTTACACATGGAAACTGAATGGACTCCATTTGAGGGACCAGTTTAGAGAAAACTCAACCTTGGTACAATAAATTTAATAAAATTAAAATATTTTTATTAATTTTTTTCTGTTATAATTTTATCAAAATTTTTATAGATTTTGGACGGAGGGCGTTTGAAAATCGAAAACGCAACCTTTTCTGACGCCGGAAACTATGAGTGCATTGTCGAAAGCGCCGTAGGATCGATTGCTGCCAAAACACAAGTTCTTGTCGATGGACCCCCTGGCCCTCCAGGTTTTAAACACCTTTAATTAAAAGTAAAATTTTCTACCATCAAATATTAGGCGCTGTTGACGCAAAACCAGTTGCAAGGGCGTCACCACGTTCGGTTTTGATTTCGTGGGCTGACGGGGCCAAACACGGCAAGGAAATAACCTACCACCAAATTTCGGGCCGCACAAAATGGAACAGCACTTGGATCATTTTGGCTGAAAGTAAGAAATCATTTGTAATATTAATTTAAATTTAATTATTTTAAAACTTCAGATATAACAGCAAACAAATTCTTCCTTCACAAGGACCGTAGAGAATTCGAGGTCAAGGACATCCTTTCTCCATGGTCAGTTTATGAGTTCAGAGTTGCTGCTGGAAACAGCATTGGCCTGGGAATCCCATCACCACCTTCTCCCTATTTCAACACCCAGCCTGACAAACCTTACGTTGCTCCGAGCAACATTGGAGGCGGCGGAGGCAAGATCGGAGATCTGACCATCACCTGGGATGTAATAAATTCTACACATTTTTTTCTCCATAAAATTAAATATAAATAATTTTCCAGCCTCTTTCCGAGGGTGATCAGAACGGTCCAGGAATTTACTACAAGGTTTTCTGGAAGCGAGTGGGCTCCAACACGGAATTCCAGTCGGAGGAACTGCGGCGCCATGGCAACATTCGCAAGCAGGTCGTCAAGATCCAGAGCGAGTTTTACTACACCGAATTTGAGGTGAAAGTGCAGGCCGCGAATTCCATGGGCTATGGCCCTATTTCCAACCCGGTTGTCATCTACAGTGCTGAGGATATGCCTCAGGTGGCGCCTTCGCAGGTGTCTGCACGCTCATACAACTCGACAGCACTCAACGTCAGCTGGGTGCCAATCGACATGAGCAGGGACAATATCAGAGGAAAACTCATAGGACACAGGGTAAGGGAAAAATTCAAACTTACAAAGAATAATTATAAATCTAAGTTTTTCCTCGAAAAAAAATAGATTACATTTAATTATTACATAAATTTTTCATTAGAAAATGTCTTTGATAAAATTTTCTTCTTCTAATTTTCCAGTTGAAGTACTGGAAGAAGGATGGAAGAGAGGAGGACGCTGTTTACTACCTCAGCAGATCCACCAAGCCCCATGCTTTGATTGTGGGTCTGCAGCCCAACGAGTATTACTACGTCAAGTGCATGGCTTACAACACTGCCGGCGAAGGACCCGAAAGTGAACGATTCCTTGGTAAAAAAAATCCAGTTACAGAATTTAAGTTCAACATAATGTGGATGTTCTTGTTAACAGAGAGGACATTCAGGAAAGCACCACAGAAGGCGCCAACGGCCGTCCATGTTCATCCAGTTGATCCGTCAACAGTCAGGATTGTTTGGCGTTATGTGGCTCCAGCACCTGACGAGGAACCACTCATTGGCTATAAGGTTTGGCATTTTTTTTTTTAAATATTAATTTATGTTTTAACTTTAAAAATAAGTTTGAGCTATTTTATTAAAATTTGCTTTATTATTTAATTAAATTATTAATGTATCAATTATAATTTTATTTTATATTTTTTTAACTTAATATCAGATTTTTCGTTGCAAAAAATAAAATTTTTTGTTTTTAAACTGTTATCAATAATGTACTGATTTCTACCAACTTATTAATGTTTACAACATATTCCAAAGCCATTTAATTCCTTTCAAATTTTGTTTGTTTACTTTCATGTATTTATTTATAATTTGATTGAATTGATTAGATTCGTATCTGGGACATTGACCATGATGTCAGCACCGCCAACGACACGTATGTCCGAATCGGCTCCAAATTGGAAACCTACTTGTACGACCTGACGCCCGGAAAGGCCTACCGGCTGCGTGTCCTTGCATACTCGAACGGAGGCGATGGCAGAATGTCCTCGCCGGCAATTGAATTCCAAATGGGTATATTAAACTAATTTTAATCCACTCACGCAAAACCTGTAAAATGAAATAAAAAACCCAAAGGCGACAAAGAGCTGCGCCGATCCAATGACGCCCCCGTCCTGGAGGTCTCCACTTTGCTCTTCTTCATCTCTCTCGCTCACCAGGTGCTATTGCGCCCGTGAACATCCATCCGTTTTTCAACCCCATATCAGCAGTTGCTTTCCATGTAAGATTAGAATTTAAGAAGGTTGTTCAAAAATTAGCCAACACGAAAAAGAGATCCGAGGTCTGCTTAGCGATCTGACAAAGTGATATTTAAAATCGTTGAAATTGTTGTAGTTTTTCAATGCACTCAGTGCTTAGAAAAGGAAAAAAATTAGGTTCAAATTTTAAATGATTTTGGCCAAGTGCCTTCCCAACGTACAATAAAAAACCCTTAACACCTGAAGTATTTTTCTATGTAAAAAAAATCAAGCGGCACAAAAGGCATTTCCAACTTTTGACGAATTTTTATTTCATGAATTGTTAAATATTTTTGGATGTTGTAGCTATAGTTGTTCAGGAAGCATTCATTATTGCACATTCCATCAATGTAGCTTTTAATTACACACACATTTTGTCCATGTATTGATATTAATTTTTACAAAATATTATATGCATATTATGAAAGTCCGTCCATTCGCATTGTGACTGTACTCTGTATATGATTATGACATTAGATTTTTACAACTTTTCTAGAATCTCCAATCAAATGTAATTTTAAAACATTTATGAGTATGTCGAGGTAGTTGTTGTCAATTTATATAATGGCAGTTATGTGCAATCTCACAAGACAATGAAAAAGTTAATTGTTTTTACATTTTTAGGCTATAATTACAATAAAAATTATCCATGTCCAAGTTCAGATGCTGCGTTTTAATTTTAAAAAAAGCTGATACACAGGTATTTTAATTTATAGAGATTATATTTCCCTTGATGTTTTAAATTTGTTAAATTTATCATAGTGTTTTTTGTTAAATGAAAACCCATTTTTTATTATTCTATTTGTTGGTTTTGACGTAAGGTATAAGAATTTTGGAATTTGCTTATTAAAAATAGTTAGATTCTCCTTTAAATTCTACTGGAATAAAAAAGATCATGGTGGAAAATTTTGATTTCTTCTTTTCGTGAGGTTATAGAAGATTTGAAAATTAAATTTAAATATTTATCTTGTGAGAACAAATTTTTATTTAACTTCAAACTAGTTTTTTTTCCTTCCTTATTCCAATAATAAATAATTATTATCAGGTAGAAAAAAATGGACTAAAGTTCCTTCAAGTGGAACGGACGGTGTGTTGTGGGACAGAAAACTCTGCTACCTGCTCTTTTGGTGCCCGCAGCAGCCTCTTCTTCTTCTCCTCGGGCTGAATTTGTTAGTACAAAAAGCCGCGAGAGGAAATTCCGCCGCTCGAAATGAGTGTATCAAATGATTGTGTGCACAAAAAGTGGTCTGACGATGGTGGAAAATTCCTCATCGTGTCCGTCCGTCGGATGACGAACAATGGCCCTGGCCAACGAGAGGAACAAGAATTCCTGCATTTCTGATCGCGGCACCTGCGTTATATTTCAGACCATCTTTCTCTTGTAGTACTTAAAACTGCGTGATTGATTTCTGGCCGCGACCAAATTCGATTCAATGGAAATTCGCGCTGCAAAAACGAACAAATGTCAAGCGGCGCTTTTTCAATGTTTTCTGTCAATTAATGCTGAATTCCGCCGGCCCTTATATTTATTGGTCTCGGTCTGGCGGAAATCGACAGAATTTTTTCCACACGAGCAAAAAAAAAAACTGCATAATTTTCATTTTCAAAGCGCAGACAGTCAATTTGAAATGTATACACGACAGGTCTATTTTCTGAGCGAGTTTTCTCTGCGCTCTTCTTATTTTGCTGCTTTTTAATGATGATGAGTTGCGCTCTCGCGAGATTCCCAGCGAGCTACTCTAATTCGCTTTTGATTATTTGTGCGCGCAGGCATAATATTTGGTTGTCATTTGCTCGCTTTTCTCACATTAACAAAAATTGCTTAATTAATTTGGAATTCACACAGGGACGCACTGCGTTAATAAAATAAGGGAAAGTTCACTGTCCGGGATTATGATATTGACTCTTAAAATGTATTTGCCAAATTAAATGTGATTTTTTTTTAATTAAAAAGAAGAAAAATGATGAATGGCTTTATGAAATTGTGAAATTTAAAATTGAATTATATTCAAGAATGTTATTAATTTTTATCTTATAGAGATTAATTTTCCCCTTTTATTGCTCTTATTTTAAAGAACCTTTATGGCCTTTTATGGGAATATGTTGATAATAGTGAAGAAATCGGAAAAAGAAAATCAAAATAATTTATTGTTTTAATTTTTAAATTTGCTAAATATTTAAGATTTTAAAATTAAGAGTTACTTTTTCAATAACTTACAATTACGTATAAAGATTATAACGTCAACAAAAAATGCAGATTGATAATGAATCCATTCAATATCGAAACGGATTGAATGAATTGAATAAATTTGCTATATTATAGAAAAGAAAACAACTAATCAGCAGCTAATCAGTGTTTTTTCTAGACTGTGTTGAAGACTTCTAACTCTAATTGAAAGCAAAGTTCCTTAATAATTTTATTTTTTAATCAAATAATGCAAACTTCTTCATTGAATTATATATTTAAAGCATTTAAAGTATCATTTTTTTTTTAAATTTGAGGTTTAAAATAAAACCTTTTTGATTTGATTACAAGGATAAATTCTAGAGATTTTGTTCAATCCAAAAAGTTAAAAGTGAACTCATCATCAAACATTTATTTAATTGTGGTAGCAACGTTTTCTTTAATGACGGAGAACCTTCGTTGCGTGCCACTCCAATTTTATATACGACTTTTCGTGTGAGTTAAATTGTGTATCTCCCGATTTCAACATCAAAAGGTGCGTGTGTGTCTCGTCTGGATGTGTTTAACCAATTATTATTCCGATCGCGCGTCTCCGAACGGGATAATAACAATTTAGTTGTGCACAAAAAGAGAAGAAGCAGCGAACAGGTGCGCTCTGATCGCTGCGCCTCTCTCACTATAAACACACACACGCCGAGGGCCGTGTCTGTTTTTTGTCCGGCGGTCCACCGGTTGCAGGAGAAGAGGAATGCGTGCGAGAAGAAAAGTGTCTCGGAGGCCTTCTGGGAGGGCCTGCTTCTCATTCATCCCCGCGCTAATGCGGCTTGATAAATGAGCTCGCTTCAATTCGGCTAGTCAATGTATAATTTAATAAAAAATATGAAAAGAATAACACAACTGAAAAGGAAATTTTAACAAACAGAATCAACAAATGAACAGTGTCAAAAAAAAAAGTAATTTAACTTATAAACATAATTAATTTTTTATTAAAAAAAAATATGTCATGAAACTACATAAAAATTAATTGTTATTAAGATTATTTCTTTCACTATTTTTATTTTGGTTAAAAATTACTTTATCTGCGACCTTTTTGCCAACATTGTCAACAATATGAGGAATATAATATTATGAGTAAAAATTTGTCAAGTGACTTTTTGTCTTAAAAAGAGAATATTATTTGTTACTCGCATGGAATTTTATAGTACATAAAAATATGAAAAATATTATAATTTAGTTAAAAATTTTATTTATTTCTCATAAAAAAAAATTACAATTTAATTATTTTTTTAATCTTCTCTTTTTAAATAATTTGTTTAATTACTAATGACTAAATTAAGTTATGCAATAATTTAAAAAAAAATTACTTAATATAAAATTTTTGAGCCTTCTTTTTTCAATTTATATTGTTTACATCTTATGTGGGTTTAAAATTTTCTCATGCTTTAATCAGGGAGGTTTTTGTTATGTTTGTTAAAAAAGACAAAGCCTAAACCAGAAAATCATCAGCCACACGCATTCTGATTGTTTCACGCTAAAATTACTTCAAACACGCGGCCGCGGAATCTGTGTGGTGATTGTTAAAGTGCGAGGGCGGCCGTACCAAATTGAAAAAGAAAAATTCCCACACACGCACGCACTCATTATCAAAAACGAGGCTCGGACCGTGTATAATTATTCTTTATCTTTTTGCCCAAAACGTGCTCCAGAGCACACACACCAAAAAAGAAGATTGTCTTTTTGAATGTCACGGAGGAACATTTTTTTACATTATTCGCCACATCTGAGAATTCTGGGAAGAGCAAAAAAGAGCTACTGATGATGATGAGCATCGGCCGCGTTGTAATTTCATTATACGCGCACGCTGAAAAAATGCGTCGTATATACACACATCAAATAATAATATAATAATAATGCATCACCACTAAAAGACAGAGCCCAAAATAAAATTGCTCTGAAGCGAAAATGAGAGGAAAAGTGCTTGCAAGGTCGTCACGACGCAAACCATTGATGGTGCAAAATAAGTCGTAAAAAATCATTAAATAACTTTCCATCTATAAAATTTATAATGAAAAATGTATAATAGTTTATAAAATTTAATGATAAACTTTTTCATCTTGAAAATTGATCAAAATGAACCTTAAATCGTTGTTAATTTGACAATTTGTTACAACCAGCATGATTCATTTTTTATAATAACCCATCTTGGTAAAACTTTTGAAAAACTTAAAAAAATAGGCCTGACAAGGAGGCTGAAATGATTTTTTTTTTTTTATATATTGCAGTAAATTTAGAGAGAAGAAAATGTTTCTCCTCACAGCTCTCATAATTTCATTCTAATTTACAGGAATGATTTTCCTTTTTATATTATCGCTTTGATTATTTTATTTTTCTCACAATTATCACCACTTTCATTGTTTTCCGCCCCAAAAACTTCATCCTAATGATTCTCGCCGCGTCAGGTGGATTATTTTCTCTTTCCACTTTATGATAGCAAATTGCTTGCTACCGCAGGTGTTGATAATTTGCACCGCTAATTGCAATTAGGACCGTCCCTTTTCCTTTGGCGCTCCAGTTGAAAAATCCACCACACCGGGGTTGCTAGGGTGCGACGGTCAAAACAAGCGGTTACCTGGGGGTGGCACGCACCACTGCGCACGGGGGTAATTTGAAAACGGGCCGCATTCCACGGACCACACGTGGTTTGGTCCAATTTGTCTACTGGAGAGAAGCAAAATGCGTATCAAGTACCTCAAATCCTTTCTACCAGCTCAGGTATAACTTCAGTTTCATGACTATTTTGAATTTTGATGCAACTTATTCGTAAAAAATAGCACATATTGAAATACCATTGCTAATTTTGAAATAAAACAACTATACTATAGTAATTAAATGAGAAATAAGTAGTTACAATTTCAATAAATTATAAATTTTAAAAAAATGTATATTAATTGTTATTTTGTAACAAGGAGTTATTTTTAGATCATTTGAAAATTCATAATTGAATTGAGTTTTATAGAACCATGGATCGAAAATCACAGCTTTGGCGTGGTCACCAAACAACATTAAACTGGCCGCCTGCAACTCGGATAGAGTAATTTTACTTTTCGACGACAACGGAGACAAAAAAGACAAATTTGCAACAAAACCTGCAGATCCAAAAGTAAATTCAAAATAAACTTCATTTTGTGTTTATTCAAACAAAATTTGATTTCAGTCTGGTAAAAGTAGCTATGCGGTCACAGGTCTTGCCTTTTCGCCAGATTCCACCAAGATCGCAGTGGCCCAAAGCGACCACATGGTCTATGTATACAGGATTGGCGAGGATTGGTGAGCAAAATAAAATTTTAAGAAATTAAAAAAAAAATGTGTAAAATTAAAACTATAAGGGGCGAGAAGAAGGTGATTTGCAATAAATTCAGCCAGAGCAGCGCGGTGACTGCGATCGTGTGGCTGTCGGAAGGCTTCCTTGTCTGCGGTTTGTACGACGGCAAAGTAAGGGAGTGCGTCCTCAAAGCCAACAAAGCTCGCACCCTTTACGCTGGAAACTCGATGGTCGTCGCCCTCACCCCTAAGTATATAAAATTTCAATCAGAGGGAAAATTTAATAAATTTCTTTAAAAAGAAAACCTAATAAAATATATAAATAAATTTATTAATTTGATTTTTTACTCCAAAAGTACAAGAGGAACTGGATTCTTGTCAGGGCACATTGACGGCACCATAGCAAGATATTATATGACCGAAGATGCTTTTATGGAGCAGCAGGCAAACAATTTATTGATTAAATTACCTCATTTTTTTTGTAAAATATATGAGTTTATTTATTATTAATAATATTAAATTTTTTGTTTTATTATATAACTAAGTATCCATCATTTTTAGTTAATTTTAAATTCAAAGTTAAAGTTTATGGGTTTCAGGGTCGAATTGCTCAGCACTCTGTTCCACCTTACGCCCTCGCCTGGCCAAACACGGGCCACGTGATAGCAGCAGGGTGCGATAAACGCATTGTTGTGTACGAAAAAGAGGGTCAGGTCGCACAATCTTTTGACTTTTCGCGAGAACCGCAGGAGAGAGAATTCACGGTGGCGTGCAACGCTCCGAGCGGGCAGGCGGCCGCTTTTGGGAGCTACGATAAGTATTGAAAAATGCATTATAATTATTCAAATTAAAATTAATTTCGCCAAGGTTGAGGATTTTGTACTGGGACCTGCGGAAAAACGAGTGGGTTTACGAAACGAAGGACGTAAAAAACCTGTACTCGGTCAGCGCCCTTGCCTGGAGAAGGGACGGATCGAAATTGGCGTGCACTGGACTTTGCGGTTCCATTGAGGTTTTCGAGTCAGTTTTGAAGTAAGAAAGTTCAAAAATAAATAAAATAATAATTTATTTTAAGAAATTATAAAAACAAATTTAATCAATCAAATGAAATTTTTAGTGTCTATTCAAAAACTCACCCATGTGTAAAATATTTGCATAATAATTGAATTATTTATTTTTAATTAGGCGAACAGTATGGAGAAACAAATTCGAGATGATCTACGTCGCACCGAGTCAAGTTTTAGTGCGACCGTTGCACGGTGACCAGCCCCGAGGGGTCATTCTGAGGTCAAAGTACGGTCACGAAATCTCGGAGGTGCGGATCGCTGGCTTGAACGACCAATTCCTGATCGCCCGCACCTCGCACTCCATTCTGCTCGGGGACATGACGCGGAATCTGCTGAGCGAAGTGCCCTGGGTGTCTCCTTTGGGCAATGAAAAGTTTTCCTTTGACAATCCGACCGTCTGTTTGGTCTTTCACGCCGGCGAACTGAGTCTGGTCGAGTACGGAAACAACAGTGTTTTGGCCTCGGTGCGCACGGAATTCATGAATCCGCATCTCATCAGCGTTCGAATTAACGAGAGACAAATGCGGGACGAGGAAAATAAGAAACTGGCCTACTTGCTTGACTTGAAAACCGTCAGCATTGGTATTATACAGCATATCAAAACATTTAAAAGAAAAAAAATCAGCGAATTCTCAATTTCTTAATATATTGAATTTTGAAACAGGAAAATAATTCAAATCAATTAAAAACTTCATTTTCCCATTTTCAATACATTTTTTTTTATATATTAATTGAAACCCCTATTTTCAGTACAGTAAAAAAATAATCTTTCAATTCTATACCGGATAAACTGCATTATTTTGCGAATAATTTCATTTTGATTTAAAATATTGATTATTTATAACTAAATTTATAATCCTGATTTTTTCAATATTCTTCTACTAATTTTTACAGTTGATTTGATAAGTGGCTCAGTCGTGGGTCAAATGTCGCACGACGCGAGAATCAACTGGCTCGAGCTGAGCGAACCGGCCGACAAACTGCTTTTCCGCGACTCGAAGCTGCGTCTGTGGCTTCTACCCCTGGCGAACCACCCCCGAGCGTGGCACAAAATCGCCCTTTTGGCGAACTGCTCTTTCGTTCAGTGGGTCAGCGGCAGTGACGTTGTGGTCGCCCAGTCGGGCTCGGTGCTCTGCGTCTGGTACAATTTGGACTCGACTGACGGCGCCACGCAGGTGCCCATCAAGGGTGACGTCGTCGAGGTCACCAGGGACGAGGGCAAGACCGAGGTTTTATCAAAATTTCTAGGGAAATATTTAAAATTTATTATTTGATTGAAAGGTGGTTGTCGAAGAGGCTAGAGGTCAGAAGGTCGCGTACGCCCTGGATGAAGGAATGGTCGAGTTCGGGACGGCCCTTCAGGACGGAAATTTTGAAAGGGCGCTGAAATATCTGGAATCACTTTCACCAAATGAGTACAAGAATTTTTATAGTTTTTTCATTCAATAAAAAAATCCAATTAATAATAGTGATGCTCAAGAGACTATGTGGAGGTCATTGGCCGCTATGGCACAGTCTGGGGGTCAATTGAAAATAGCACACAGGTGTTATGAACACCTGGGAAATAAGGCCAGGGCAGCATATCTGGAAAAGACGATAAAAATTGCTGAGGAATTTGCTGGGAAATTTGGTAATAAATATTTGAGTAAATTAAAAAGGAATAATAATAATTAAAAATGAGTGCAATGATTGACCTAATTTGATTTGTGACAAATTAATCCCTGAATCTTTTGTTCTAAAATTAATCTAGGTGGCGATGGATTGAATTGTCCAGAGGTTCAAACGAGGCTGTTAATGTTGGATAAGCAATTCAGGGCGGCCGAGGAGGTTTACCTTCAGTCAGGTGACGTTAGCTCGGCCATCAGGATGTACGAGCAATTCTGCATGTACGAAGAAGGTGAATGAAAAAATTTATCAGAATCTTAACAAATATAAATAAACAAATTCTAGCGCTTGACGTGGCAGAGAGATATGGAAGCCCTGAGCAAGGCGCCCTGAGACAAAAACTGGACAAGTGGTACTTGGAGACGATGCAGGAGGATAAAGCCGGGGAGCGGAAAGAACAGGAGGGACTCTATGTAGAGGCCGTCGACCTTTACCTCAAGGCGGAAATGCCCAAAAAAGCCTCAAGGTCTAATTTTTTTTTTTTTACTTAATTTTAATTAATAATTAATTTGCAGGACCCTTTTGAAGGAAACGTCGCTTCTACAGGACGAGATGCTTGTTGGAAAAGTGGCGAATGCCCTCGGCAAGGCGGGTCAGATGGACTTGGCCGGCGACCTTTGGAGTCGTGTCTCAAGACAGGACAAGGCCCTTGAGTGCTACAAAAAAGGCGGCGCCTTTGCCAAGGCCGTACAAATCTGCCGGGACACGCGTCCGAACGACGTGGTCAAACTGGAGGGCGAGTGGGCCGAGTACCTGATGGGCCAGCGACAGTTCGACGCGGCCATCAGCCACTTCATCGAGGCGGGACACACGGCCAAGGCTCTCGAGGCTGCCATAAAAGCCGGCCAGTGGAAAAAGGCCAAGCAAATTATCGAGGTTGTAATAAAAATAATCAAATTATATGTAAAATAAAAAAGTGATTATTTTACAGGTCATTGAGGACAAAAAGGGGGTTAAAAAGTACTTCAATATTTTGGGGAAGCACTTTGCGGCAGAGAAGGACTATCGAAACGCGGAGAATATGTTTTTGGAAGGGGGAGCGGTGACCGAGGCTGTGGAAATGTATTCAAATACAGGCAAGACAGCTTTAAATTATTCATATAAAATAGTTGCTTCTCATGAACTTTATTTTAATTTAATTGTTGGCTTTAAGAAAAAATGATTATTTTTAGCATTTCTTAGGTCTTCAAGATGAAGCTTTTTTAATTATTTATAGCAAATTTTATGATTTACCGTTTTTTAATTTTTTGGTAATTTAAACTTAAAATATAAAATCGATCTGAAATAATTTAGCTCAATGGGAAAAGGCTTGGAAAGTGGCCACCAAGCACATGTCCAAAGAGGAAGCGGCCAAAGTGCTGAACATTCCTGCTGAGAAAATGATCGGTGCTGGCAAATTCCGAGAAGCGGAAAAACTTTTGCTGGTGATGGGCCAGGCAGGCAGGGTGGTGGAAATGTACCGCGAGCACAAACGTTATGACGAGGTTTGAAATCAATTAATGAAAAGAATAATGATAAAGAAAAAATAAGATATAGACAAGTGAAAATGGTTGAAAATTATTATAAAATAAATTATTTAACGTTTGCATAAATTCCTCCCATGTTCAACTAATTTTTTCCCAGTTTTAATTTTTTTTATGAAACCATCATCAATTTTTAACTGTCAATTTATACAGAAAAGTAATTTTGAATATTTATGTAAAAAAGATGTGCCGAGTGGCGAGTACTCACCTTTCGGTGGACGAGTGCAAGCAGTTGCAGCAGGTGGCGGCGGCCGAGTTGCAGGCGAGCAAGGCCTGGCGCGCCTCCGAGAAGCTCCTGTGCACGGCCGGCGACTGGAAGGCGGCCGTCGCCATGTACAGGGCGCAGGGCATGTGGGACGAGGCGCTCAGGGTGGCCAAGAGTCAGGGCGGCACCTCCGCGTGGCGCAACATCGCCTTCCTCTGGGCCATGGAGCTCGGCGGGCAGGCGGCGGTCAAACTGCTCGACAGACTCGCCCTCCTCGACTTCGCCATCGAACACGCCTGCGACAATTACCAGGTGAGAAAATTAAATTAGTCATAAATCACAATTTCTTAAAAGTTTTTATACAGAAATAGAAACCAATTTACAAAAGTTTATAATAAACGCTCAAATCGTTTTTTATTTTAAAATTATATAGAATTTCCCAATTTCATATTTTTTTCCCTCTGGAATTATAAATTGTGGATCTAATACCGATCAATGGTATTTTATTATTTTGTATCAGATAGTTGCATATTTTTAAGATTATTTTATAATGCCATAATCAAGTTCTTATTTTTTAATACTGCATCAATACTTTATATTTAATAAAATTCCACAATTTTCTCAATCTTTAATATTTTTTATTTTAAAAATAATATATATTTTTTAATTTTTTTACTTCATATTTTGCTGAAAATTTAAAAAGAATTTTTTTCCAGTTTTTTCACATATATTATTAAAATGTCAATTTATTGATTTCCTAAATAATATTAAATAATTTAATACTTTGCAATCCCTCGGTTTCTTCAGAATTATCTCTTCAAATCAAAAGTCGATTAGTAATTAATTCATGATTGATGATATCTTGCAGTTTGAATTTGCGTTTGATTTGAGTCGCCAAGCTCAGCCTGCGAAAATGAGTGATATTCATTACAAATACGCTCTCGCCCTGGAAGACGACGGAAAATTCCAGGACGCAGAGGAGCATTTCATCAAGTCTGGCAAGCCAAAGGAGGCCGTTCATATGTGAGAAAATCAGAGGCTAATTATTTTACATACAAATTTATTTCCCTTCTGCATAGGTACGTCCACGGTCAGAATTTTGAAAAGGCGCTGAAAATCGCAGAAGAGTTTTCTCCCGAGGATGTGAACGACGTGCTGGAGGCGCAAGCTAAAGTTGCCCTGGCGCACAACGACCTTTCCACTTTTGAGGCTTTGATGATCAGGGCGCACAGGGCTGAAATTGTCATCCAACAATATAAGGTTTGAAAGAAAAATTTTAAGAAATTCTTAATTTATCAGTAAATTCAGGAGTAATATTTAAGATTGGGATTAACTGCTAATTTAAATTTGAATTTAAGTTTGAAATAGAAAACAATATTTAAAACTCCGACTATATCTCGATATTATGAGTTGAATAAAACTTTTATTTTTTGTAGCTTATGCACTTGGGTGTTCACTAAATTATTGCAGAAATAATTTTTTGTACTAGAGGATTTTAAATTCTGGTAAATAAATTTTTTATTTTTTTCTTCAACATTTCCACTTTTTTCCAGGAAAATGGAAACTGGATGGAAGCCCTTCGAGTGTGCAGGGAGCACCTTCCGGCGAAACTGGGCACCCTGGAAGCGCAGTACAAAAGAGAGACGGGACACCGAGGTCGTGGTGGCGGCGGTGAAGGGGCCACGGTGTTGGCCGAGGCTCGCAAACTCGAAGAGGCCGGACAGCAGCAAAGGGCCATCGACCTGTTGCTGCGAGTGTCGCCCAAAAACTGCAACGACCCTACTGCGATTGCAAAGGCGTGGGTCAGGGCCGTCGAATTGGTCATCAAGTACGCCGGGGAAGACGAGGCAAGGAAGATCGCAAAAAATTATGGTAATTCAAAAAATTCAAAACTTCTAATCAACTTTCAAATCAATAAAATCCCAAATCAACAATAAAATCAAGTTTCCATAATTTAAAACTTGTGATTGGCTAACAACAATTTAAACTGATGTGAACAAAATTTAATTGTTAAAAAAAGTTGTTATAAAAGTCAAATTAAGTTTTTTTTTTCATTTTTAAAATAAATTAATTGAAATTAAAAAGAACTTATAAAGTAAAAATATATAATGTATTATTAGAATATAATTCATCTTGATGAAAAATGTAATATACAAAATCTTTTTACCTTCAATGAAAAAAAAAATTAGGATCTCAGCTAGTCGAAATAGGCCAGCATGCTGCGGCAGCCCAAATTCTATTGAGTGCCGATTTGGTTCAGGAGGCGGTCGAAGTCCTCATGGCCGCCGGCGAGTGGAACAAAGCGCGGAAAATTGCTCAGCAGCTCGAGCCAAGGTTAATAAAATTTAATCCTAAATATTATTTTCAACATAAATTCTCTAACCGATTAAATTGATATTTTAGTCTGGAAAAGTTTGTGGAAAAGGGGTACAAATCTTGGTTGAAGTCGCAGGGCCAGACTGACCAGTTGGCCGACATGGACGTGGCCGAGGCCATCGAGATGCTGGCCCAGCAAGAACAATGGACCAAATGCAAACAGGTGGCTCAGGAAAACGGGGGCCTCAGTACTTATCTAGTCCTGCACGCTTCCCATCTCCTCAAGGTATTCGCATTTATGAAGCGAGAGTAAAAAATTTAAATTGCGCAAAATTTTTTTAATTTTTTTTTTAGCTCTGATATTTCTATATCTCCTTTACAATGCATTTTTTGAATATTTGAATTTTTTATTAATTAATTATTACCAAAAGAGTCAAGTTAATTTGATTATAATTCAGACTGGCAAGCCTTTGGAAGCTCTGGAGGTGTACGCGAGTAACCAGCCAATTCCAACCCTCGACTCTGGCACCCTGAGCACCGTTCGCATGATCGCCCTGGCCATTCTCAGTCTGCCCAACCTTTCCGACGCCCAGAGCTACGAAAAATGGGTCTCCCTACGCAACATTTTGCTCCAAATGGTGAATAATTTCATGCCTTGTCACAAACTGTTTATTTGAATTCAATCTCACCAGAGCGAGGACTTTTACTCCACCCAGAAGTACCCTGAGATCAGGACGCTGTTAACCCTTGCCCACTTTTGTGCGATTCGATCCGCCTGTCGCGGAGTTGATGGTCTCGAGTCGCTGGCGGCCAAGCTTTCCATCGCCCTGTTGCGCTTTACAGACGTCATTCCTTCAGACAAGGCCTACTTTGAGGCTGGAATGGACGCCAAGGTAAATTTTGAAATATAAAATTTGTACAATTACAATTTTTTTTTAAAGTCTTTCAGTTTGATTTTTTTACATTTATCTTTGGTAATATTGATTTTATATAATAAATTTTTTGTGAATATATATTTAATTTTTTTTAATTTCAAAGTTATTCTGTTCAAAATCTTTAAATTTAAATAGTTAATATTAGTTTTACTACAAAGTTTTAGATTCCTTAAAAAAAATTGAAATGAACTAATAAATTAAATTATGCACTTGAAGGCCCTCGGTTGGGACAGCGAGGCGTTTGTTTTCCTAAACCGACTGCTGGACGTGTGCGAAGCGATTGAGGAAGTGGAATCCGGCGGCGCCCCGACCCTTTTGGACGCGACCGACCTTCAATGCACCGATTTCCCAGTGGACGCGCCCCTTCCCCGGAAGATGACCATTTCCCACCAGGAGCTGGAGGAAGCCAGGGAGTGGCTGCTCGCCGTGTCCATGGACCAAAAAATTGACCAGGTACCTTGATTAAATTGGGAAAAAAATAAAATATTACATTTATTTTCTTTGGAAAAAAGAACTTGCCGCTGGACTTCAGGGGCGTTTACGCGGCGTGTCTGCAAGCAAATGAAGCAGAGCCGCCAGTCGAGATGTGCATTTTGTCCGGGTGGCCGGTGCTGGACGACAGTGTCCAGCTGGGCAACAACGTGGCCATCAAGCAGGAGTGGAATAATTTCCTGCTGGCGTCTCGAACAAGCCACGCAATGCCTTTGGACGACGTGCTGAAGTTTTTGGCAAAGTGGTGCGGAAAATTGCCAGAAGGATTCCAACTTGGACTGAAATAACTTTGGGAATATTATGTAAAATTTAATAATAAGTGTGTTTAAATTATTAAATTTGTTGAATTAATTTAAATTATGATTTATTTAAAAACTTTCACGACTTTAAAATTGAAATTCTTCTCTCATTCGCAATTCTTCCCAAGTAATAATAAATGTGTTACCATTATTGTTTGTGAGAAGGTATGTTTGAATTGCAATTGTTTCCACCAGCACGAAAGGTGCACGTCGGAATTCACCAAAGTGTAAAATTTCCCCTCTGTTTTACGGCCTGTGAGCGAACTTTGAAACAAACAGGGAGCATAAAGCACCTGTCTCTGCCTGCGAGAGCAATCGACTGCATCGCCTGCACCAGGCCACGCATTTTTATATATTTTTTAATTCAGCTCCTGCTTCTGCTGTCGACATGCATGCACGCACATTAAATTCTCTGCTCGTTTGAACTAACTATTATAAACATGCCTCTGTGCGCCGCTTATACAGGCAGATGGCCGGTAATTGCAGAAAGAGAGAAAATTGCAAGCCGGCAATTGGAGCAATTAGTCACAAAGATTGCTTTTTCCCTTTTCATGCAATCGTTCAAATCAGGTTTGAAAGGCTCGAAGAGAAATTATTGAATATTAAATTTGAATCCTATAAATGCAGAATTTTCAAAACAAAAATTCATTTTAAATCAGTTTTTTTTATAAAAATCCAAAAACATGAGCATAGCTTTGGGTGGCTTCACATTTGATATCTGCTAAACGGTTGTGCAGTTTTTAATTTTGTGTCGCTTTTGCGAGAGGATCAAGTTTCAATCGCCTGCTGTTCGGCCAGAGATCACGGCAGCAGATTGCGCCAATTTGGAACAAAAACGACATGTGATAAGCGGGAAGAGAGCACTTTGGAAGCGGATTTCGCGCCGGAAATTTGCTGATTTGTGTCTGTGACTGAAAATCACACCCGCTAAAATAATGAGCGGAGAGTCGAACTTTGCTTCCGCCGTTTACCTGCACTGTCAGGTGGCGATTAGGAGTATATATGGCTTTTTCAGATTTTCGATGTTGCAAATCTTGTCTCGATAACTTCTAGAAAGATTAGATTGTAGGTGGAGGGAAGTATTCAAAAATAATAGCAACAGCCTGAAGCGCCGTCAAAATTCTTCATCCAACGATACTGTTATAAGTAAAAATCTGAATGCTGACAATGACGTAATTAATAAAATTAATTAATTCCTCATTTAGATATGAGTTCATCACAGATTACTGTTATAAAGATTTATTAGCATTCGCATTTGTCACTCAGTTTTTGAAGATTTTTATAATTACATTTGTTTTATATTGTATTTTCAACTGATATTTCGAATAATTTTACTAAAAGAAACCAATTATTTATAGCAACATTTGTATTGCTTTTTATTTCTCCATTTTTTTTATTTTTATATCATTGCTCACATATAAAATTTTTGAAAAGATTTAAATGTTTGATACGGAATTTTTAGATGAAAATTTGAATTCAATTACGCACAAAATAGAATTTTTTTAAATTCTTTTAATATATTCACTAAATTTCTTATTTTAGAGTTGACGTTATTTTTAATAACAACATTAAATACGCAGCAATTTAAAACAACTTATTCAAAAGTGAATGAGGCAATCGAGATTTATGTAAGTAAAAAAAGCTCTAAACGGGAAATAATTAATTAGTAACAGGTCTACTAACTAATTAATTAAAAAAGTTTTATATTCAAGTTGGTGATTATGCAAATTAATTTTTATATAGAGCTGTATCATTTTGCCTTCTTAAGTGCTGTTAATGAATTTCGAAAGTGAAATTAACGAGGAATTTCTTGCTTAGGTTTTTTTTTCCTTCTAATTTTCTAACATATTTTACAATCTTGTACATTATATACTAGCAAATTCTTGCGGTGCCAGTACTTCCCACAGCGAGAAAACAAACAGTCGTTGGTTGATCATTATCCTGCTTTTTATGAGCCGCCGCCAAATTTATGAGAATTATGCAAATATTCAATTCGCAAATCCCTGCCGCCCACGCGAGGAAAAATTTGTTATACACCCATTCCAACGCTCTGCTCGAATTCCTTTGTTCTGCTGGTTTATTCGGTAGATTAGGAAAAAATAATTACACATGTACAATCATCTGAAAGGTCGCTTGCGGGGAGCAAGAAAAAAAGAGCTCTTGAAAACACTCAGCACACTTCGCCCCGGTTTCCGCTTTGCTTCCTTTCCTGTCTTGCAGCGAGGAATGCGCCTCGATTCTCACAGTCGCCGGATTATGAGAAAAGAAAACAGCGCGGTGTGCGTTATTTTTTTCAAGAGAAGGTGCTCTATGCTCTTGGCGCACCGAGGAGGATTTTTTTCGGCGGATTTTTCACACGCGCGCGCACCATTAATTGCAGCATTCGCAATTCATTAAAAAGTAACTGTACGCGCTTTCGGTAATTAAATTTTAATGATGCGTGCGGCGGCGCCCCCGTTTAATTGAACCGCGAAGAGGCGCGTGCAAAATTTTTAAATAACCATCAACAGCAAGGACGGAATTATTTTAAAACTTGTATTAAACTGAATATTAATTTTTGTTTTATTGTGCTCATCAAATTTGTTTTTATAATATGAAGTGCTTCAAGATTTATAATTTTTTTTTCTTAGTTTAAAAGAAAGATGTGAAACACACAGCAATGAACATTAAATTTTAATTACATAAAAACAAACAAAGTTATCGAATCTGCACCATCCGAATTGAAGTTGCAGATCTCTATATATTTCATGAAGATAATTTCTTCACTTGGCGTCACTATTTTTTTTAATATATAAAAAGCTGATAATGAAATCATAATTGTATAATGATGCGTAATGTTGATTTACTCTGCATGGTATAAACCTGTTGAAATTCTTTTTAATATAAAAGATGATGTCTGATGTGATTTTTTTGGTACATATTTTGTATTTTTACTTTCATAAGTGGCATATTATATCGGATCGGCGGCATCTTTGAATAGTTCTTTTGCATTTCATTACTGCAGCCAATATAATATCATGTCAGCAGTAAGAATTTGTTTAACAATGAAACTCTCTTTTTAACAATACAAAAAATCCAAAAATATGAGTTTTTGGTTTTCTTTAAGGCACTTTCATGAGAGAATTTTAATATATTAAGTTGGAGTTAAAAAAAAAAACAAATCAGCATGCAAGTAGTTTTCAAAAGTTTCCTGCGCTTATATGCCAAATAATATACTTAAGCATGCTATTATAATAGTTGTTCGAGTTTTTTTTATTAATAAATTTTTATTAGCCCAGAGCAATAACAAATAAGGAGTCGTTCAATAAATCTCGATTCATTGCCTATCCAAATAAAATCACGCCGGTCATGAGAATGCGGCGCCCAACGGAGAGGATGCTGCGCGAAAAGATCTCAGCGGACAAAAAGCCATGTGGGCGAGCAGGCAACATTTTATTATTCACAAGCTCAGGGCGTGCCTCTCTTCTCTCTCGCAACTCGCTCTCTTCAATTTTATTTTTTCTTTCTTTCTCTTGCACGGTGTTCATTTTATGGCGCCGGCCGACGATTTCGTGCCGTTAATAAAAAGGCGCGATAAAAATGGTCCATTATGCGCGACATCGATTCTGCAAATGTTGTATAACCTGCACGTGGTCAGAAGACTTGTCTCCGCGGCAAAGTGCGTTCCCACGACCCGCAGCAGCAGCAACCCCAATTGAATGTGATAAAAAAAATTAAAAAAATTTCTTGCGGTGACCTCAACTCCTTATTTTCTTATTAACTGGTTTTCAATCCCGCCCACGCTCACTCGTCGCAGCTCATCCTTTTGCTCGGCGGCAACAGGTATTGACAATGCGTGCATGTTTTCCAACAACAGCGGAGGCGATTTATTATACGCAACTGAGCTAGCAACAATATAATATGCTGGAGTCGCCCATTTAAGGAGTTATTTTGACATGGAATGAAAAATTATTTGTCTTTCCGATGTTCGAGCCTTTTTAGAATGGGAAAAATAGATAAAATTTAAAAAACAATGCAACAGATGTGAGGAAATTTTATTTGAGCATAAATTTAGTTGAGAGGAAAAAAGTGGCACTGCTAACTAGGGTATTCTATTAATTAAGCTTGATTTTCATCCGTTAAATTAAAATGATTAAGCGTCTTTCCAAACATTTGCTCGAATTAAAAAGTTCAAATAATCGGTTTGAGACTTTTCTTTTGAGCAAAATTTCAAATTAATCGATTAAAAGGTGATAACTTTTAATGACAAAAAGTGGTTTATTTTCTTATTTTTGCAAAAATGTCTCGAGGTTCGAGGTTATTGATATTATTTATTTTTCTATTTGATTTTTTGTTTGAATCATTTTTGCATAATATGGGGGAAAATGATGTGAACACAATTTTATATTCATGCAAGCTAGTAACAAGAATGTTTGAAACTCCTTTAGGAGATTCTTTATGAATTTTTTACATCATCGTTGTAATGATTTATTTGCAAATAAAAAAATATTGAAAATATTAAAAATAACAAAATCGTCCTAATTTATAAGATACGTTTTTTTTTATGAATTCTTTCTTACAAAAAATCAGGAGAAAAAAATTTACCGACCGGTGGTTGTATTCATCTCACAATAATTTCAAGGGCTATGCACTTTACCAAAATACCAGGCCATATGTGTGCGTGGGATTTCGACGCTCTGGGTCGGTTTAAAGGGCTCTCACGCGCGCCAGGTCCATTCATTCATTCGCTCCCATTTCCCCAAGGCGCTGTTTTCCTCCTCTGTATGAGATGTTTATGGGGTGCGATATCTGGTCGTCCAATTCCCAGCGAGCACCTTCTTCTCTTATACTTTGCGCCGCGCCGCCTGGTAGGGTGCGGAAGTTTGAAAGCCGATCCCGAACACAGGATGGGACGATCAAGATTTTTATGAGGAAACAACGAGCTGGTGCACGAGAGCTAATGTGTAAGAAGAGAAAACGATGAGCGCCGGGAACACCTACAAAATCAACCCCTTTTTTAACAAGAGGAAGATGTATTATGGTTTATCTCAGCGGTGGATCTCCCCACATTTTTAAATTATTTGTTTTCTTTCTTTGTCTTCCGAGGTCGTAATTTGGAGCAATAAAATAGTTGAAATCTTGATAGAACGTAATACCTAGCAATTATATTGTTTATTAAAATTGTTTTCTTACCATATCTATGATATATTTTTTAAACAAACAAACAAACAAGAATGTAATTACACATAATTGATTCTCTTGAAGCACTACTTAGGAACTTAATTACGTGAGAATTGATTCATGATTATTAGCAAATAGTAATTGTTCTTTAATAAATAAATAAACAAATTACAATCCCTAAATTACGTAAATAAATTTTACGAAACTGTTAATAAAAAAAAATATGATATTTATTTATTGCTATTTATATTATTTTTTCTCTTTTAGTTTGCCTTTATACATGGAAGGAAGTTGGTAAATTCTTTGCTAACAGCCTCGGGCCGCATGAGTCAAACCCTGAAATTTTATTCATACCCAAGAAACCACTCATATATAATCAGGAAGCAGCATAGAAGTCGCAGCTTCAATTCATTATAGAAAATTTCTATTCACCTGCCAAACCGTAAAGAGGAAGATGTTTGAATGAACCTGGCAAGTCCGAACTTGTAAAAATCACGTCCCGACCGGCGGCAACAATGGGACAAAACAGAGACGAATGAAGTGGCCGTGAATGGAACAAAGTCAAAAAACGGCCAGTCCATTTGAAAATCACGTGAAATGGAAAAGCATGACCAAGGACGGACCGTTTCCTCTCTGCCTGCGGGACTCGGTGTGACAAAACCCAATTTTCCATCTCATTGAAATGCTAAACCCCGCGACGCTCCCTGAGCAACGCAGGTCGTAAATCACCCTGAGTTGTGTTGAATATACCTGGAAAAACGCAAGAAGCACTTACTTAGGGCGCAGAGGGGCCTCATTCATGTGTTGTGGCGCAGGTAGGAGGAGAGGAGGGAGGGAGGGGGGCTGTCGGCAGCAGCGCCGGCAGATCTCGGCTTCTCATTCATCGCCCCGGCGGCGAACTGCAAAGTTGTACTCGTCGATCGGACACAAGTGACCCAGTGCGAAGGACGCGCGTGTGTTTTTACAGACCGAGAAATATACACAGTGACCATGCAGCCGGGCAAAGTTCACCTGTTGCTGCTGCTGCTGGGCCTCTTCTCCGCGCACCAATGTGAGTATAAACAGAAAAAATTTAATACGAAAACACTTTTATAAGAGAGATTTCCGTCTCTGACTCAATCCACGACCTTATTGTAGGAGGAACGATAAACTTTGTAAGGAAATTGATCAGAAAGAATTACTATGGAATAAGATGATGAATCAAATTAGTTGGAAATTAACAGGTTAAAAAAACGATATTTCAATTTCCGTGTTTTACTTGGTATTTTAAATGGAAAGGCGCGTTTAAGTACATATTGGATATAAATTATACCAAATATTACATTATTAATTTGTTAGATCAAAATATTTACAAAGCAAATATTTTGAGCTAGTCTCTAAATGATTAAACCCAACTAAATATGGCACAAAAGTTATATTTATGCAGATTTTGTTAAAAATTTAGTTAAAATAGAATTATATTAATTTTTTCATGAAGTAATATTTTATGTTTTATTAGAATATAAACCCTTTTTTAATCATTTATCAATAATATAATTTTTCTAGTTTAAAATGAAATTAATATTGTCTATATAGTAAATTCTGCATTGCATGAGCCTTTGAATAAACTCAAATCAATTGTAGATCAATCTTAAATTTTGTAAATTATATAAATTTGCGTAATTGAAATACAATCACACAAATAACAAATAATTTGTTTGAATTAATATTTTTATAGCTCTATAAAGTTTAATTAGAATTGCCTTTTTTCTTCTTATGCTCTAGATATTCCTAGATTGTTTCATTTTCAAAAATTTTCTCTGCGTCTGAAATAGAAAAATCTAAATCAGTCTGTAACGCAGCCAAAATATCAACAATCGCGTGTTATTCTTCGTGCTTCTCTCGGCGAACACCTCTCACATGCTCAGATGCGCGTGTTTATGCGTGTTTGGTTTGCACGTGAAGCGCGACTTGCGAACGTGCTTCCTCTCCGCTAACAACCAATTCGGCGCGGCCTGCAGAATTATCAATTATTATTTTTAAGAGAGAAGAGGTGCAAAAACTCGTCGGGTCGATGACTTATTCCGTTGGCGTTGGAAAGAAGCCAGAGGACTAAAGCGAATTAAAATGCATAAAAGAGAGAGGAAATGAAAATCCGCCGATGCACTGCGCTGACTTTGAGCATTCTTCAGCGGAAAAGAAAAAAATTGCATTTGTGTGCAGATTCATTTGAATCGCCACTCTCCCCATTCATTCCACTTTTTATACAATATCCAGAGCACAACTCGGCGCAGGCAATAAAATTCACTAAAGCAGCACACCAAAATTTTTATATAAATGGGTACTGAGCACGTCATGATTTTTATTGCTCAATTTCACTCAATTTGATCATAAAAGAAATCAATTCAATGGTCATGTAGGTCCGAAGTTAATTTTTGAAAGCGGTGATTCAATTTAAAACGGTAGAGGTGCGGTTGATTTGAACGTTCAAAATTAAGTAAACGTCTATTTTTAGAGAGAGGATTGAGGTTTAAATAAAGTTCAAAGTAAAAATTTTGGAATATAAATTCCTTTTCAAAACAAGTTTCAGATTTTTAATAAATTTTTCCACATTTAAAATTTGTCTTAATCCACACCTTGTTCCATTCATATCATTTTGCCAGGAATTTCCTTTTCCTCGTACACCTTTTTGAGGGAATGAATCACCATATCATTTATTATAACTGCACACTAGCGCGGTCAGCAGCTGGGAATGCGTGTCGCCTCGGGAGGTTTGCGGAATAGAAAGAAATCATCCACCCTATGCAGCCGGCACAGCTCACGTTTTATTATTCCCGGGCACGGTGGACGCGAATTATCTCAAATAAAATTTTCCGCCCGGTTTGGTCCATTGCGCATTAAGCTGCAAATAACTGCTCCGATAAAATATCAATTTGCTGTTGCGTGTGGGGGAGGCGCGGACTACTGTTGCCATCGCGGGACTCTCTCTTTTGCTCCTCCATTCAGGAAAAAAAATGAGTGCCCCAAGGTGCTGCCCGGGCAGCATTCAATGAATTTTCCACGCTGCTGCTGGAAGCGAACAAAAGCATTCCAAGCCTCTTTTGGCCAAAGCAACCCCTCAGATGCAGCCTCAGCCAGGATTAAACAACCCTCCTGTGCGATCCGTGACCCTGATAAAGCGGCCTGCTGTCAAATGTGCTCACCTTTGCAGAGACAAATGAGCCGCGGGTGGACAAAAATGAACATGTCGCCGCTTTAAAAATCTCAGAAAAGAGGACAAATCGAAGAATGGTATTTATTTATCAGTTTTAGTCAAACCGTTTCTCTTTTCCAACACAATTTAAATTTTGAGAAAAGTTGAAGTAATGGCGTAAGTTTTTGTTTAAATTCTTTCTCAGAAATTTTGATTCAATTTGCTGATGTCCGTTTTATTCCTCTTTTAACAAAAAAAAACCTCCTGTCCCGTTTTGAAAGAGCTCATAAAATTCAAATAAAAATTAGTCACGGCCGTCGCTCTTTTGAATAGTTGAAAAAATAAGCTCCGATTTCCACCCAAAATAAGAAAGGGGGAAGTTTTGCTTTTATCTGTAATTTTTTTCCGCAATATAACAAAAACACTTTTGAGCTCAAATGACTCTTCAAAAATCAGGATTCCCTTTTTCGGTGTCTGGTTTCGCGCAGCGGCGGCAGTTGTTTAAAACGTTGTTTGTTTGCCTCTCTCTCTTGCGCTATAATTTGGCAAGCTGCTGAATCACCCGCTCTCGCTGCGCATACAAAAGAAACAAAACGCCGCGCCGTGAAAAAGGCGAGAGAGAGACTAGAAAAGAGAAAAACCGCATCGGCCAAAAAAGTAGTTTGCATTTTCTTGAACAACCCGCCGCGCGCGTATTTGTCTCGCCTTTGTCCTGTCACGCCGCTGCCAACACGCTGTGATTTTCGCACGCGTGAAAACTGCGCTTGCTCTTGTGGTTTTGGTTAAAAGTTGATTGAAAATGTTTTTCTTAATTTTAATCAGTCCATATTAAAAAAATTTTGTGACTGCATGAACACCAAATTAACCGGTTTTGAATAATTGACCAATTTTTTAACGTCTCCTTAAAAGCATAACTGCCACTCAAAGTGTCAAGTCCTATCACTTAACAATTCAATTTCCCGCTTCAGATATTTCCGAGGGTCCCGAATTGTATATGAGCCGCCGTGGCACGGAATTCGGTTTTTTATTATTACGTTATATATTTATCTAATCTTCTCTTTCGTGAGCATTTCCTAGACTCAAATGTGACAGTCGGAGAAATGAGTGCCATCAAAATAGTTTCTTTACGAGGCGAGATGTTTTCATTGTATCTCCCAAACAGGGCGAGGAGGGTTGGCACCTTTTTGGTCTCGCTGTCGATACCTATCTTTATAGCGCTTTAAAGGGCCAACACCTCATTCACTCTCAAGACAGCCAAAAGACTTGATTTCGAGAGACTAGAAAAGAGGTGTCCTGATGCGGATGCGTTTTGTTCACACAAAGCTGCGTTTTGGCCAAAATTATTTGTATAACACGGTGCTATGGTGAAGCCTTTGGCACCTGAGAAAAAAGGAGAGTAAATATCCTGAGCCTGAGAGGACGCCCTAAACTCAAATAGTACGAAAAGCTAAAAAGCATCAGTGAAAAGGAAGGATTAAACGGTACAGAGAGAATTCTTTTGCACTAAGGAATGATAGAAATCTTCCACAAAATTATCAGATAAATGGAAACATGTTAAATCTCTGACAGAGAACATTATCAATTAAAATTAATATTATAATTTTTTAATTTATAAAATAATGCTTTAAAATAAAACTTTAAACTTTATTAACTGTTGTATAATTTAAAAAATTATTAAATAGAACTCACTTCTTTTTTTTTTTTAAATTTTGGAATTAGAGACTTTGAAGGTTTGAAGGGTTACTCGTTTAATGTAAACCCTGTGCAACTAGTGGGTTAAGGGTTTTTTCCGCTCCACTCGGCCGACCGACTGCACGCATGATGACAGATGCTGCAGCGGAGCAAAAAGCTTCTGCGGCGATTTACCTTCGCTCTGCGCGCATAGTTTTGTGATATTTTCCTGCAGCCACCCAGTTACACTTCCTGTCTCCCACCACGCACGCACATCCACGCGGAGAGCCTCGAGCAGAGCAATTTCCTCGCCCATATGCGCCATTCTATTGTGCGAGAGCACTCTCTGAAATTTCCAGAAAAAGGAAATGGAAAAAATAATTTTACCGGCGGATTTTCCTCGTCCTGAAATTATTATTTTCCAGCTATTTTAATTTGAATTTTTTTTCATTGCAATGAGAGTTTTAAAAAAGCCAATAATTTTGATATCAGAAGGAATTTTTCAAGCTTTTCTGTGATAATTTTCTTTTCATAATTTTTTTCCTCTTGCAAAAATCGTTTTTTTTTTAGTCCTTTTATGAGTTGACTTATTTTATCGAGCAGTTTCTGACCAGTTTGAGCTTTTGACAAGGCATTTCCTCTCCATCTGAAAACTCACTTTACAACCCGTTTCTAAATATTTTCCCTGACAAAAGAAAACCAAGAGCGTGCACTCATTACATTATACAGAGCGTACGCTTCGATTTCAAAGACGAGAGTCACAACACCCAATTATTTTCGCTTTTACATTTCGACAAGCAGCTCTATTTCCGGCGCGCAGAACAAACAATAAAAAAGAACACGGCGAAATGAAACGAAAAAAGAATCAAACGACGACTTACTTAAAGGAGTTTTATATTCCCGCGCCTTTGTATGCCGAATAAGAAACGCGCGCGTCGAGATTATTTGAATGACAAAAGGCAGCTGGGCTGCTAATTCTGAGTATTAGCACTCGAAGAAAGAAAGAACGGACCCTGCTGACAAACACAAACATCGTAATCAAAAGAAAAGCAAATACTCAGCATTGAGAGTGCTGCTGTGTGAGCTCTCGATATGCTCGAAATGAATTTTTATTGTCTGGTTCCTTTGGCTTGCGCGACCAAAAATATTGAGTGCAGCCGGCGAAGCGAGACCGACCGGCGTTTCATGCCCTGTGGTTGGACGAATTA